TCAATGAAATCGGCTGAAAATTTTCCAAATTTGGCAAAAAACATAAGATTCAAGAAGCTGAGTGAATTCTGACAAGGATAAACTCAAAGAAATCTACACCAAGACGTCAAAATCAAATTTCTGAAAACTAGTAACAAAAGAAATCTCAAAAGCGGTGAGAGAAAAATGACACCTCACTTATAAGTGAAAACAATTTGAATGACAGCAGATTTCTCATCACAAACTCCTGAGGCAAAAGTTAGTGGCAAGACATTTTTCAAGTGTTAAAATAAAAGGACTGTCATCCCAGAATTTTATATCCAACAAAAAAATATCCTTCAGATGGGGCACATATATACAATGGAATATTACTCATCCATAAAAAGGAACTAAATTGGGTGATATGTAGAGATGTGGATGCACCTAGAGACTGACATATAGAGTGAAGTCAGTCAGAAAGACAAAAACAAATATCGTATATTAACGCATATTTGTGGAATCTAGAAAAATGGTACAGATGAACCAGTTTGCAAGGCAGAAATACAGACATAGATGTAGAGAACAAATGTATGGACACCAAGGGGGGAAAGGTGGGGTGGGATGAATTGGGAGATTGGAATTAACATATATAAACTAATATATATAAAATAGATCAACACTTGAAATGAGAACCTGCTGTATAGCACAGGGAACCCTGCTTCACTTCTCTGTACAGTAGAAACTAACACAACATTGTAAAACAACTATACGCCAATAAAAAAATAAATAAAATAAAATAAAATAAAAAGATCCTTCAGGAATGAGGGATGGAATTCCCTGGTGGTTCAGGTTAGGCCCAGGTTAGGACTCTGTGCTTCCACTGCAGGGGGCACAGGTTCAATTCCTGGTCAGGGAAATAAGATCCTGCGTACTGTGCAGTGTGGCCAAAAAAAAAAAAAAAAAAAGGAATGAGGTGAAAAATCAAGACATTCTCAGAAGAAGGAAAACCAAGAATTGTTACTATCAGACCTACTTAGAAAGAATGGCTAAAGAAAGTACTTAATCAGAAAGGAATTATAAAAGCAGGCATCTTGGAACATCAGAAAGGAAGAAACAACAGCAAAAGGGTAAAAATATGAGTAAATACAACAGACACTTAAGTTTTCTAAATTATGTTTGACAATTGAAGCAAGAATTAGATGTCTGTCTGATGTGGTTTCCAATGTGTGTAGAGGAAATATTTAAGATACTGTTGTTATAAATGCTAGAGGATAAAGGATTTAAATGAAGAGAGGAAGAGGTGGGTGTGACTATAAAGGGGTAGGATGAGGGAGATCTTTGTGGTGATGTAATAGTTTTGTATCTTGATTGTGGTGGTGGTTCCACAAATCTATACGTGTGATAAAATGGCATAGAGCTATGCACACACATTTCATCCATGTCAATTTTCTGCTTTTGATATTATACTATAGTTACACAAGGTACATCCATTGGGGGAAATTGTGTGAAGGGTACAGGCGATCTCTCTGTACTATATTTACAACTTCCTGTGGATCTATAATTATTTCAAAATAAAAAGTTAAATTAAAAATGTAATTACATAAAATACAAAAAAAAACCCCATCAATACCTAATAAGTGAAAGCAAAAATGAAACAAATAAATCCAACTGTGTATTGAGTTAGTAGTACAACCACACAGAGGAATTATTTTAAGTGACCTTAAAACAGTAATTTGACTCTACATCCTTAATAGGAAATATGCTAAGGACAAAAAAACAATTGCAAAGAAAGAAATAAAAACTTAAACCATTTAAGTAAGCTTATTGATGGTAGTCTCATTTTATTCTGATATTGCTGTGTGTTTATCACAGAATAAAGCAGATAAGTAATTATGCTGGCATCATTAAGAGCCAGTATCCTTTTTTGGTGTGGGAGAAAGGAGATAGAGAATTAAGATAGTTAAAACTGTCGAAAACTGAATTGAATGGGAAATGCCAGTAAATTTCATAATGTATTTTCCCTTAAAAAGAGAAAAAAAGGAAAATGAAACAAGAAATCATATTTCTTAGTTCTGCTCACTGCAAAGTCCTAGAATCAACAACCAACCCAGGAGCAATGAGCACCACCAGATTGTGGTCTCTAAATAATATTCCTACAAAGGGGAAACAGGGGCTTCTCTGGTGGCACGGTGGTTGAGACTCCGCCTGCCGATGCAGGGGACACGGGCTCGTGCCCCGGTCCGGGAGGATCCCACATGCCGTGGAGCGGCTGGGCCTATGAGCCACGGCCGCTGAGCCTGTGCGTCCAGAGCCTGTGCGTCCAGAGCCTGTGCTCCGCAACGGGAGAGGCCACAACAGTGAGAGGCCCACGGATGGCAAAAAAAAAAAAAAAAAAAAAAAAGGAAACAAGGTTTCTCAGAGAAATAGCTGATTCTAGATCTGGGGCAGGACATGTACAAGATGAGCCTGAAACATTTGTCCCAATACTAGGATATCAAGGATGCTAGAGAAACTACCAGGCGGTTTCAAAACACTAGCACCGGACAAAAACCCTACTGTCCAAAGATGGGACAATTTAAGCATCAAGAACAATAGTTGCAATGGATTAAAATGTAGCCAAAATGTATAAATCTGTGAATTCATGATGGTACTCAAGATAATAAAAATAACTTTATTGATCACCTTTGGAGAATACTAGGGAACCAACTCATTATTTTGAAAACTGATAAATAAAGGGGAAAAATCATTTATCCATCCTTTCATATGTGAACTATACCACACAATAACTGAAACTTTAATGAGGAGATATTTCTCTTTATAAATGCTGTAGAGCTAATAAATGAAGAAATAATGATATCCTCAAATTGAATGCACCATTTTGCAACCCTTTATAGAATAAAGGATCTAGGCAATTTTCATCAAGGGCTGCTAACATCAGTAAAAGAGTGATATCTAGACCCCATGAACCTCCTGATGAACGTACACATCACCACTTAGGAATTGTTCCAGCCCCAAAACTTGAACCTGAATCTGCTCTTACCAATTCACAGGAATAACACCATGGGGATGCAGTGAGAAAATCCAGACTCTGGGAAACCCTACAGTGCAAACAACCCAGTTTCTTCCACAAATAACGAGAGAAAAAAAGAGAGAGAAAGAGAGAAAGAAACCTACAGATTTAAAGAGACTTAAGAGACACATCAGCCAATTGTAATGTAGGAGTCCTGTTTGGATCCTGATTTCAACTATAGGGGGAAATAAATGTTGAACAAATATTTGATGCTATTAATGTCTTGTTTTTAACTTTGAGCTTTGATAGCTATGGTTGGTATGTTTATTTATGTTCTTACCAGTTAGAGATACATACTGAAAAATTTACAGATGAAATAATATGCTGTCTTGATTTGCTTCAAAATAACCTGGGTTCAAGGAGGAAAGTGGGAGGTGAGTATAAATGAAATGATTGGCTATGGGTGTTAACACTGGGTGTTAAGGCTGTGTGATAAGTACATAGAAATTCATTTTACTATTCTCTCTACTTTTTTATGGCTTTGAAACTTTTCATAATAAAAATTTTAGGGCTTCCCTGGTGGCACAGTGGTTAAGAATCCACCTGCCAATGCAGGGGACATGGGTTTGAGCCCTGGTCAGGGAAGATCCCACATGCCTCAGAGCAACTAAACCTGTGCGCCACAACTACTGCGCCTGCGCTCTAGAGCCCACGAACCACAACTACTAAGCGCACGGGCCGCAACTACTAAAGCCCACGCACCTGGAGCCCTTGATCCACAGCAGGAGAGGCCACTGCAATGAGAAGCCCGCGCACCGCAACTAAGAGTAGCCCCCACCTGCCGCAAATAGAGAGAGCCCGCGCACAGCAACAAAGACCCAAAACACAGCCAAATATAAAAAACTTTAAAAATTAAAAACAAATTTTTGTAATATACCCTTATAGAGACAGAAAACTGAATTCTTATAATTGCCTCCCTGATCTCCACCCATTGGTCTTTCTTCTGTTCTCTGGAGCCTAGAAGACTAGTATCACAGTAATAGTAATAATAATAATATCAACAATAACAGCCAGCATTTTGGGAGCACATACTTACTATGTGCTAAATTCAGGTTAGGAGCTTTTTATGAGGATTTTCATCTAACCCTGACAAGGTCCTGAAGTAGGTACAATTATTATCCCATTTTACAGATGAGGAACCTGAGGGCAATAGGTTTCATGACAAAGCTCAGCCTCAAACCAAAATCTGACTGCAGATTTCCAGCTTATAACCACTAAGCTACACCAACACACAGGGTAAAAGGTGAAGAGAGCTGTCATGGCCTCAGTCTTCCCTTTTTTGGGTTAAGCATCCTGACTTCTTTCACTCTGCCCCTCCCCGCCAATGTGGCTTCAATGTCCCACACCATCCTTGGAGCATCCTTGGAGCACTTTGGAGTTATAGAAGCAGCTGAGTTTCTTGAAAGCATCCTAGGCTCCCTGTACAGCTGGCGCCACCCCCATATGCCCACCCAAGCTGCGGGGATTGCCAGACAATCTCTAGTCGGCCTGCATCCAGGCTGGGATCCTGAACACGTGCAAGTCCCAGGGGTGGCATGGCTCACCTGGGCCTCGGTGCCTCTTCTCCATCCAGATGTAGCAGTTGTTCTGGGCCACCCCGGTCTGCGAGTCCAGGAACGGGAGACGCACGCTGCGCTCTGCGCACAGGCGCGAGTTATAACTCCGGCAGTGCTCAATGGCCTCCTTGTAGAACTGGTCCCCGAGACTGCCGGGAGACAGAGAGAGGAGGAATGAGGCCAGGGAAAACCAGAACACACGCAGAAGGAAACTGAAGTCACCCACCCACCTCCCAGGGAAGATTTCGCGGTTACGAAGACCAAGGCAACGTGTACCAAGAGATTTGCCAAGCAGCAGGATCCAACTCAGTGTCAGGTCTCCAATAGGCTCTATTTCCTGTACTGAATCCACCAGGAAACTTAGAAACCCCTTTAACAAAGAAATGAGGACCCCAAGAATAAACCACCGGTAAAAGTGACACTTCCCTGTTCTAGGAAGCATGAGGTCCCACTCCAGAATGGAGGTAGCTCTAGAACAACCTTCTGCATGGGATCTACTAGGACACCAGGCTTCTAGAGCCCCCTGCCCCTTAAAATCCCCCATTAGCCACACTTTTTTCTCAGTGGTAACCAACAAAGGCACTCTAGATTGAAGCCAAACCACCAGCACAGATACAAAGATTTCCATTACAACAGAAGAGAAACACTCCATAGAAAAGACTAGAAGGTCAGAGGAAACATCCTGTAAAAGTAGAGCTATTATGGGGGAAGGAGGTGAAGAAGGGCATGCACCAATCTTTTAAAACCACACACTTAAAGAAAAATAACTTTCTGATAGAAAACAAACAAAAGAAGCATTTGAAATAACAATAGTTGATTTTTGACCTCAAAATAATTCAATTCCCAGAGTTTAATACACAAATAGAAAGACCTTTCTGGTTTGCTGGAGTGGTGATCTGATTAAGCACAGTAAATTTTAGGTGTCTGAATCTCTGCTATCCTTGGACATGTGGAGATGCTACTAATTTTAAGATAATGTCCTTTTCAAAAACCAAAAATACAACATTCTATAATTGATCAATCTTAAAACACAAACATAATCAATGAGATCAAATATCTAACAAATAAAAGATAGGCATATGGCAGAGGTTAATAATGGCCCAAGGGGCCTTCCCTGGTGGCGCAGTGGTTAAGAATCCGCCTGCCAATGCAGGGGACACGGGTTCGAGCCCTGGTCCGGGAAGATCCCACATGCCACAGAGCAACTAAGCCCGTGCGCCACAACTACTGAGCCTGCGCTCTAGAGCCCGCGAGCCACAACTACTGAGCCCACATGCCACAACTACTGAAGCCCGTGCTCGGCAACAAGAGAAGCCACCGCAGTGAGAAGCCTGTGCAGCGCAACGAAGAGTAGACCCCACTCGCTGCAACTAGAGAAAGCCTGTGCGGCAACAAAGACCCAATGCAGCCAAAAATAAATAAAAATAAATAAAATAAATTTTAAAAAAATAATGGCCCAAGGAATTACAGATGTAATCACATGATGTCTACCAGGTAAAGCAGAGCTTCTTAGTGAGGAGAGTGAGGAAAAGGCAGGAAGAGGAGGAGCCTCAGGGATTGCAGAGCCAAAAGGGAGACTCAAGTAGCTCATTTTGAAGGGACATTATGAATCTCCCCCTTTTTTGGTCCATGTAGATCCCAGGATGCCAAAATGGGGGGGTGGGGGGGGAGGGGTCTAAGTTTAAAATAATATATTTCTTAACCAAAATATTTAGAGCAGTAAAGAAAGAAAAAATTTAAACGGATTCTTCTGTACTCTTTTTCACTTTTTTATTGAAGTATAGCTGATGTACAATATTTTGTAAGCTACAGGTGTACAATATATAGTGAGTCACAATTTTTAAAGGTTGTATTCCATTTATAGTTATCGTAAAATATTGGCTATATTCCCTGTATTGTACAGTACACCCTTGTAGCTTATTTTATATCTAATAGTTTGTACCTCTTAATACCCGACCCTTATCTTGCCCCTCCCCCTTCCCTCTCCCCACTGTTAACCACCAGTTTGTTCTCTTTATCTGTGAGTCTGCCTCTTTTTTGTTATATTCACTAGTTTGTTGTATTTTTTAGATTACACATATAAGTGTTATCATACAGTATTTGTCTTCTTACCCTTTTTTAAAAGTCAATGGGTCAGATTCTACCAAAAATTTTAAAGCAAATTCCTTATTCTGGGAGGATACAATCATTGAAGCTTCTGAGGCATCTTTTGGAAACTACTTGTGGACATGCCTCCTAAAATGAAGCCCTTTACTCCTTTTTTACCTCTGGGCATCTTCCCTCTCACAAGGACGGCATAACAGCTCAGAAAGTGTCTAGCAGTTGCAAAACCTAACTGTAATCAAATTATAATAGTCACACAGCTGGAAATGAATTAGGGAGGGGGAATGAAAGCCCATCAAAATGCTATAAAATGGAACTGCACATAAGCTGATATAATCAAAGTTAGTAACAAGGATCATGAGATTGATCAAAAATAAAGAACCATTTCCTGCGAAGCATTCGCATCTGTGTCCCACCAGTTCAAATACCTCCTTCTGCTAAGGCGATGCAGCTCAGTGTAACAGAACTGTCGAGGGCAGCTCAGCCCAGGCAAGGTGACACAGCCTATCCAGGGTGTCCTGGGGGCTCCAGCTTCCCTCCACATAACAGAGACCAGTCACATCACATGGATGAGAACTGACAAGAACACACGACAGAGAAGTGTCTGATGTGAGAAGCCGTTATCTGGTTTCCCAGGATATTTTGACAGACTGCCAAAAAAGATGTTAACTATTCCAACTCCAGAAATTCTGCTTAAAGAGAAACCATGGGAAAGGAGGGAGGGACGGAGGGAGGGGAAGGAAGGAAGGAAGGAAGGGAGGGAGGGAGGGAGGGAGGGAGGGAGTGGGGGATAGGGAAGGGAGGGGAGGGAAGGAGGGGAGGGAGGGAGGGAGGGAAGGAGGGAGGGAGGGGAAGGAAGGAAGAAAATTGTACACTAAAACTCATCAACTGGATAGCTAGTGGGAAGCAGCCGCATAGCACAGGGAGATCAGCTCGGTGCTTTGTGACCACCTAGAGGGGTGGGATAGGGAGGGTGGGAGGGAGGGAGACGCAAGAGGGAAGAGATATGGGGACATATGTATATGTATATGTATAACTGATTCACTTTGTTATAAAGCAGAAACTAACACACCATTGTAAAGCAATTATACTCCAATAAAGATGTTAAAAAAAATAAATAAATAAAATAAAGATGGCTTCAAAAAATAAAAAATAAAGAAAAAAATAAAGCTCATCAACTGGAGAGAAGAGGGTTTCCATTTTCAAAACAAACTTCTGGAAGCCAGTACAAAAGAAATCTACAATAGGATCTCAAATCAGACTTTTCTCGATATGCCTGGAACTCGCTTCCAACAGCTTCAATCCCAAAAAGAGAAACAAGAAAGTGAACTTGCTGAAAATGAGAAGTGCGTTTGGCCAAGTCCATGCCCCACACTGAATGGAACGAAAAAGTCAAACAAAGTGGCTCACTGGGTGAAAATTAATTTCATCTTAAATACTTTCCACTTTCATAACATGCAATGTTATTAGTAACAGGCATGCTGCGGGGAAATGTGTATTTTTAAATGTAATCTTTGTGTGAATGATACCTCCCTTATGTAAACAGGAGAGATTTTCTGAGGACTGGAACAACCATATTAAAGACTGAAGCTACAAAAATGTGACAGCCATCACCCTCTGCCATCGTCTCCAGGGAAGTCACTTTTAAACAGGCCAGGCATTGGCAGCGATTTGGAAACAAAAGTTTAAAGCGTTTTTTAAGATATGTGAGGAGAAAAGAGACTTCATCCTCTGATAACTTCAAGCTGCACTTCTCCAAAAGTTAATTAGCCAAAAGCTTCACAGGGCTTGCTCTGTTCTCTAGAAGAAAATCAATGGCCAGGTCTCCCTAACCCATGGAAAGCAATTTTAACAGGAGAGGGGACAAATGTCCTTTTCAATGTGGTATTTCTTTTTTTTTTTTTAATTGGAGTATAGTTGATTTACAATGTTGTGTTAATTTCAAGCGTACAGCAAAGTGATTCAGTTATACATATATATATATATATATATATATATATATATATATATATTTTTTCAGATTCTTTTCCATTATAGGTTATTATAAGATATTGAGTATAGTTCCCTGTGCTATACAGTAGGTCCTTGTTGTTTACCTATTTTATATATAGTAGTATGTATACGTTAACCCCAAACCCCTAATTTACCTCTCCTCTCCCCTTGTGGTATTTCTTTTTAAAAAATCCCACATTGGGGCTTCCCTGGTGGCGCAGTGGTTGAGAGTCCGCCTGCCGATGCAGGGGACACGGGTTCGTGCCCTGGTCCGGGAAGATCCCACATGCCGCGGAGCGGCTAGGCCCGTGAGCCATGGCCGCTGAGCCTGCGCGTCCGGAGCCTGTGCTCCACAACGGGGGAGGCCACAACAGTGAGAGAGGCCTATGTACCGCAAAAAAAAAAAAAAAAAAAAATCCCACATTGATAGGATCCCAGGGGTGACATCTGCATTAAAGATGCAAGGGGCAGGGACTTCCCTAGTGGTCCAGAGGTTAAGACTCCTCACTCCCAGTGCAGGGGGCCCGAATCCGGGAACTAGATCCCGCATGCATGCCACAACTAAGAGTGCACATGCTGCAGCTAAGACCCAGCACAGCCAAAATAAAAAATAAATAAATATTAAAAAAAAAAAAAAGTTGCAAGGGGCAGAGGAAGCTGAGAAAGGCTGGCAGCAAATGAATCATTTCGTGCAGTGGTGACCAGTGTGCCCCAGGCTGGGACAGGCACGGCCCAGCCTCAGCCATCACCTGTCTGCATCAAGCCAAGGGGGCTAGATTTTCCACAGGGTGATAGATGTCTTGGGCTCAAAGAAGCTGGCACAAGGCAGAGTAGAATGATGGTCTCATCAACAACTGACTTCAGGCTACTCAAGGCTGCAATCAGAAGCAGGAAAGGCAGGGGGAACAAATTGCTGGGCTCTCTGCCAGAGCAGGAGCCCCTCACGGCCTGCTGCTTGGAGCAGTGCTGGCTGCCCCGCTCTGGAGCTTTTGTGAGGGGTTTTGTGGGATCCTTAGCCATCCCTTCTGGAGTGAGAGAGCCATCCTAGCTCTGAGAGCTTTCCAGTGGCCCTCCTTGAGCCTACCTGTGGAGAAATGGATTCTAGGCACCAAAGAGGATTCAGAGTGGAAAAAAA